CAAAAAAAAAAAGAAAAGGAGTGCTTGTTGCTTACCGTGATTCATTAACATTGTACCTAAAAACAGCTTGCTTCAGGACTCCATCTTTTCTTTTCTGTTTTTGTACATTTTTCTCGTTTTTTGGATGAATAACGTGCGCGTAGGAAAGCACTATGAAAATTCTTGATACAAAGTAGAAACTAAAGCTGATGTTGCCTTTTATCTACCGAAGGGCATGTGAGTAATTAACGGGAAAACTGCATGTCTCTTGATTTGCCTTTTCTTGTTTAAGATTCACTCTCATAAACATTATATAATTTGCATATTTTTTCACTATCCCAAATTAATGTTTCGTTTAAACATTCAAAGAAAAATCATTCTTATTTTTTATTATTATTGTCAACTGTAATTATTTCTTTTCAAGTTAAGGGTAATTCCCAAAAAAAAAATTGTAATCAATGAAAGCTAATTCAAAAACTTTGTGCAAAGTTAAAAGCACTATATAAGAGATATATATGAAGTACTACTCCATAAAGAAAGAATTCAAATCATAAGAGATTAATACAAACAAATTTTATACATACTATATTTTTAAAAAAAAACAGTAAATGATAATAAAGAAAGTTAGAGTTTTTTTTTAATATAATTGGAAGAGAAGAGATTCGAACTTTACTTTTTAATTAAGGAGATAATGTACCAATTAATAAGCGAAATGCTCAAGTGCATAATAACAAAATCAGAGTTTGGCATAAAACTATTAAGAGAAATGAAGAGCAAATTAGCAATAAGTAGAAAATTTTGGAGATGGTGCAGTTTCAGGCTTCGTGAATAATTTCTTGTTGGTTACAACTACTTTGAATGTGACGAGAAATGACAATAATAAAATTAACTTATTTGAAACAAAAATAATAATAATAATAAAAACAAAATTTTGATGGTGCATGGGCACCGGATGTGGATGGTTATCTACTTATCTAGGATGAGGAGATCCATCCATTATTTATAATTAGATATAAATTACTACACAGTAATTAATTAGAAGGTTAATTTTTTTTACAAGGCTAATTAATGGAGAATAATCCCAGAAAAAAAGAGAAATTGCCTGGATGAGTCTAAATGAGCAAAAGCCACATAAAGTACATTAATTAGATGTTGATATTTGCCTCTACTTTATATGTATGCTAGTTAATCATCCTCAAACTGTGAACTGATTTATTTATGGCCAAAAAACTGAGTACTACAGGAATCCTATTAATTGCTAATTAATCATATTATTTTAATTACGTATCGATTGTTCATACGTCAAGCCGACAGATTCAATTCCTCTAGAAAATCTGGGTACGCTGATTTTCCTTTTGAGTACTATTACGTGTTTAATTTCAATGTGGTTGAAGAAATCAACCTTCTCTTATCATTTCTTTCCTCTCATGATTCTCTACATTATTTTTCCAAGGACAGGCATTCGGGAGAAATCTAGAAAGCCATAGTTATGGAAAATTCCGAGTCCAATTCTGGCTGATTAATTGGTTCTTATGAAAGTAGAAAAAGGAAATCTTTCGTCTAGAAAATTGAAAAGTAATCATTTCCAGAAGAAAATAGAGGTCCAAATCAAGTGTTCGGCAAAGTTGCCTTAAATATACACGGAGTTTGGTTTGCATTAAGAAGAAAGAAAATTACACCTGTGGTTCTCAATATTAATGCCTACAATTTAAAAAATATCTCAAAGTTAATAAAGAGACGGTCCTTCTGTTGACAAATCTGTCAACCCCTCCGTTAACTTCCAGCTGGCGACACTTGCCAATTCACTGGGCATTTTTTTTTCTATAGCTGTGCTATGTGGTCACAATTTTTGGCCCGCTTATCCTTTATTTATTTTTAAATATTAATTTGTTTTTCTTTTCTGATTCACATACTCAATTTTTTTTTTCTATTATTTGATCTCGTTCTTTCTTGTGCTCTCGTTTTCCAATAAAGCTATGATCAATTTCCAGCATAAAATAATTCTCAAAAATTTTTTCAAGAAAAAAATCTTTGAAAAACAAAACCTTGCATAGAAAAAGAAAAAAAAAAAGTAAAACATGCACCCAAAAGAATAAAGATCTAACAACAAAAAGACCAAATGGATCACATTTTCATTCTAATCATTACCCCATTCAATATCAGAAAATCATAACAATCTCACTCAATATTTTTAAAAATAAATTTAAAAAAGAAATATAAACAAATAAAAAATATACTTTTATTCAAAAATTAAGGCTCAATTTATATAAATAATCGCTTGCAATTTTGATGTTACTGAGGTAGGGTGACTCCCTCAACTGTCACTACCACTGCCTCACCACCGTCACATCATAAAAACTCGTCAAAATTGAACCTTATATTGTAAGCTGACTTTTTAATTGTATTTGAGCATTTATTTCATTGATTGTTGTAGGGACGAACTTAGAAATTTTTCAAAGTGGTGTTAATAACTATCAATTTAACAAATTTTTATTCATTAATCAAAATTAAATAAAAGCATCCACAAATCAAAATTAAATATAAAAATTAAATAATTAAATAATATATTTATAAAATAAATAAAAAAATTCATAATTTTAAGATATTATTTGACATATAATACTATTTTCTATTAATTAGATTTCATTTGGGTCTTAAATTATCAAATTAATCAAAAAAATTTAAACATAAAGTATTTAAAAACTTAATTTGGATTGAAAATTATTAGATGAGTTGTTTTGAGACAGTGAAAAGTGTAATTAAGAATTGAGAAGAAAAGCCTCGTTACAAGTCTCAAAGGTTGGAGTTGAATTTTAAAGGGAAAGTAGTTTAGGTTTTGATTTTTTTAATAAAATTTTAAATTATAATTTTTTTTATCTTGTAGTATTTAAATATAATTATTTGGAGTCTTTCACCTAACTCTTATAAAATTGTAAAAAAATTAATAAGTTCATTAGTATCTTTAATTATATAAAATTTTAAATAAGTAATAGTTGAGTGGTGTCACCTCTACAAGACTAAGTTTGTTTATAGATTAATATATGATCTTTTATTAAAAAGTAAGATTTGAATATTTTTTCTTTTAAATTTAAAGACAAAAACCTGACCTTCTGACTCCTTCCTTAGACTCTTATGCCTTCACCTTTGAAAAATGAAAAAAATAACCTTAACAAACCGGATGAAGGGATGGAGAGGGCGGGGAGACGAAGGTGCTATATGAGCAACTGGCCTCCATGGGGACGAAAAGGAAGTTAAAGCTTGGACCTTGCTACAGTTGAAAACTTGAGATTCATGATGGTAAGAGAGAGGCCATGGATCTAAAGATTGGGGTTTTGGTATTGTTAAGGGAAAGCTAATAGTAGTTTTTGTAGAGATTGGAATGAAAATATATCAAAAATAAAAATATGTTTTCTAGATTTATAGAAAGAATGATTTGAGATATAAATAAATGAAATTTTTGTATTTTATAATTTGAAGTAAGTTTATGTTACTTTTCCTTTTCTCTCCATTTATTTTTTTAATTTTTTATTTTATTAAATAAAATATAGATTTTTAAAATTGAAAATTAAATAAAAAATTTAAAATAAGCAATTTTGGTATTTATCATGCGTCACTGGTTACAAGTTAATATTAGGACTAACGGAAATATGGACAAAAAGTCGCTATAACGTTAAATTTGTAAAAATTAAGAAGAAACTTATTTTATTATAAAGATCAAAATAGCATAGCAACTAAACTTTGAAATTAAGCGTACACTATACTCTTAATAAAATAATTTTTAATTTACTCTTTATTACGGGCCAACTGAATCGAATGATTATCGATGGGTCGGGTCAGAGTTAAAATTAGAATATCAGCTTCCCTCTAGAGACAATGTGGGCCCTCCTTTCCACGTGTATCTCATGCAACTGAAAATAATTATTTTATTTCGTTTTATAATTAAATTAACACGTAATACCATGATTATATCTAAATTTATAATTTATTTTTGTATTATTTTCAATCATAATTTCATACAGAGATATATTCAAATAATTCATATATTGATTAGCAAACTATCTATATAAACTTATTGGTATGATGCTTCATTATAATAAACTTTAAATCATTTTACAAGTGAAAAGTTATTTATAATCATAATATTTTTCATCATAATTTATATATGATAACAATCGATATTTTTTTTGTAAAGCTTGTAGGTATTGCGTAAATTCTGTCCATTTAAAAGAAAAGCATGAAAAATGAAGCCATTTTTGGTAGAAACAAATAGATTAACATCAATGTCCGATTTAAATCGTATAAAAATTTAATTAGGACAAGATTATGAAGATTTGCGATCCTAATCCTGTCGTTATACCATCATCTCCCCAAAGTTAAAAATTAGTTAAACTCACAATCCATATTCAATAATAATTGCTCTTAAAAATGGCTAACACATCTGGTTGAGGTGAAACTATCTGTCAATGTTCCGTCTCTATTATTATGAAAATTAAAAAAAAAAGAAATAAGAGTAAAGTATTTACAAAATAAAAAAAAGCATTTCCCAAAAATAAATAATTAGAAAATGTACAAAGAGCGTAGTGCGGAGGCTGCCACGTAAAAAAGCCGGAATCGTGAAACTGAAAAAGTCACCGTGCGACGATCGCAAAGCTTATTATAATTTTTTTAATGTTTATCTTCTTCGTCTTGTTATTTTATATTAAAGTGTTACAATTTGTCTCTATATATAAAGCAGAGCCGGATAGCTTCCCTGCTCTCCCATCTCTTCTCCTCAAACTCTCTTTCTTTCTTTCATTTCCTTAAAAGCCTTAAAATCTTATTCCTTCTCGACTCAACCTCCTTTATTTGATCCCTTATCTTATTCTTTCTCTATCACTCCTGTTTCTTTATATTTCTCTCTTCTGTTTTGGGTTTTTTTCATTGAAGAGTTTACCAGATTCTCCATTCAGAAGAAAAAAGATCCCCTGTTTATCAAGTTCACGTACAAGAGACTTGTCAACTAGCTGGTATGTTATCCAAACTTTCTATGTCTAAATATTGTTTTTCCTTTTTCTTCTCTGGTTAAGATTATGCTTTGAAGTTTGGATTGAGGATGTTTATATCCCATGAGTCTCTGTTTCAAAGCTCACTGTTTTCAACTTTTTGAAGTTTGTTTCTTTCACTTCCTGTTTTTGGTCATTTTGTTCTTTTGTTATTGGACACTTGTTACGTAATCAAGTTGTGAAGATTTTAATCTTATGTTGAAGCTTGAGGGTGATTTTCTAGTGTCTGAGTTTGTTTGATCAAATTCCATAGCTTTGGAAGGGATTCAGTCTTCAAAAATGTTTCTGCCTAGCTTCTCTGGCCTATTTATTTCTTTCTTCTAGAAGTCGGTAATTTCGAGTCTTTGTGACCTGCAGAAACAGAATATATTTTTGTTTTAATTTTTGGGAGTTAAAGGCTTTGAGAGGTGAGCGGTTTTTGATTTTATGTTTCTTTGAAATCCTCACCTGGTTCAGAAAGTAGCAAAAAGCTGAAGTTGGGTGTTTATCTTTTTCAAATTTCTTATCTTTTCTGTCTTGCCTTGCTGTATCAAGTTGGGTCATATAGAATTTAGAAACTCCTGGATCTAGCTTCATGCTTTAAAGAATTTGCTAAAATTGCTGGTAAATCCTCAGTAGGGGAAAGGTGAAGTCCTTATCATCTCAAGGTTTGATGGAATTCGGTTGCATGTAATAGATAATAATAATATTATTTTCTGCTGACTGCAGATGCGCAGAAACCAAAAGCTTTTCACGATTTGTTTCTGACTTGATTGAATTAACTGGTATTTATTGTATTGCTTTGATCAAATGTTTTTTGGTCTATAGGAAATTTGTTTAGTTGGGAATTAGTACGATTCTGGGAGAACCATAGTAATAATAGTAACTCAAGATCATTCCTTCTTAGATACGCCAAATTTCGCCTCTTCTCCCAGAAAGGGGTCCCGATTGGAGACTTCAAGCCACATAAAGTATTTTCACAACCATATGACATCTGATATGGTTGATGATGTAGAAGATGTAGCGTGTTTTCTGCATTGAGATATCCATTCTGGATTGTGAATTTGATATGAGATGGTTAGTTGTGGTGCTTTTGAAGAAATAAATGTTTGTTTTAGGTGGTTAATAGTAATAATAATAATAATAACATTTGGGTTAGGTGCCCCACCATTGGAAGATAAGTATTCATGTAGTTAGGGGTGGTTGAGCACATAAAGTTTCTGATGGTAGCTTTTGTCGAATTTGGTTTCACCATTTTTGAATAGGCGGTAGACCAGATCTTACCAACCAACAGCTGCGGTTCTGTCTTTCTGAATATACAAGAGAAGTCAATACCATTTGCTGCCCTTAATGGGTCTTTGAGTTCAGAGGAGAGGGAAGAGTTGAAGATGATATAGTTTAACGACTTTTCCCTTGTTTTTTCATTCTGTGACGGCCATGGAAACTTGGGAATTATGGTTCGTTGAACTTTCAAGTTTCAACCACTGAATAATGGAGGTTTTAGCAATTTTCCAAAATATATAGGGTTTCTAAGTTTCCTCAAACCTATATGAAGACATCTGAAGAGGCTACACTTGACTAAATTTTTGCTTGAAGATGAAGCAATGGAACTTGTGTTAATTAACCACTAACTTGGGCAGTTGGGATGGGATCTGTCTTTGTTTTGTTGTTAATCCCTTCAGAAGTGTTTTTGCAAGATAAATCTCCTTTCCAGTCAAGTAGATTAACACTTGCTGAAAAGAATCATTGGTATCTAGAATGCTAGTCCATGTTAAAGATCTTTGAGTAAACTGATCATTAGATATATAATACTTCAGTTGCAATGAAGATGTTCATGATTCTAATCTGGTATCTTTTGCATATATATTACAGATTTTGGCAGCAGATGGCCATTGACCAGTACTTTGAAGAAGCTGTTGCTCATAACCATTTAAGCGAAGAAGGTAATACTTCCTTGCAAAAGTGGAAGAGTTCTCCACGTCAAGTCACAGATTCTGGTGATAATCCCTCGGGTGGTTTTGACTGCAACATCTGCCTAGACTCTGTGCAGGATCCGGTGGTCACGCTATGTGGTCACCTATATTGTTGGCCCTGCATTTACAAATGGCTTCATTTTCAGACCGCTTCCACTGAAAACCAAGAGCAGAAACAGCAGCAATGTCCTGTATGCAAAGCTGAAGTCTCACATACCTCACTGGTGCCGCTTTATGGCAGGGGCCTGACAACTAAGGCATCAAGAGGCAAGACTCCCCAACTTGGTTTAGTCATACCAAAGAGGCCTCTTGCTCCTACTCCTAATACTACCAATAGTTCGCAGTTTGCACAGCAATTACATCACCGCGGCTATTCATACCAACCACAAATGTACTACCCTCAACATGGCAGTTATCAAGCTTCACCGCTTCTTAGTCCTGGTGGCATGACCATCAATGTACTGGATCCAGTGACCCGAATGCTTGGTGGAATGGTGTACACGAGGGTATTTGGGAACTCGATTACAAATTTATATACTTATCCAAATTCATACAATCTTACTGGGAGCACTAGTCCTAGGATCAGAAGGCATGTAATGCAAGCCGATAAGTCACTCAGCAGAATAAGTTTTTTCCTCTTCTGTTGCATAATACTCTGTCTTCTTTTGTTCTGATTTGTATTTCTCCGCTTCATTCCCATTTTATGCTTGTATAGAAGACAAAAGTTATTCAAATTCAGCCGGATGTACTAGTACCTCATGAGATGTTGCATCTCCTGTGCTGCGAAATAGAATATATGTAATTATGAGTTCTGTGCACCTCTTGTTCTGATATGGTGTGATTTCTGTTTCTAGCTTTAAAATCAATCATCTCGTTGGATAGCATATTCAACGAATATGTATCTTGTACGGTGTGGCCAACCAAACTTCATTCAGAGCTTAAAATTGCCTATGGAATGTTTCGATGACCTTATGTATAGATGGGCGATCAATGAAACATACATTATGCTCCTGCCTTGGATTTTAACAGTAATCAAGACCACATTACATTCAAAGATCCTAGTTGTCACATTGAAGAAATACGTATCTACTGAAAGGATTCAGGTTTGGAATTGCTAATTAAATTTGATGAGGTTACTTTACTAACACTCATTAGTGTGATGTAGTTTCTTCAATAGGATTGGCACGTCGCTGTTGGGGGCCCAGGATTTTGACTATTGGGGTGGCCAAATTCCAGGAGGGGTCTCCTGTCCCTTTGAGTTATGCAAATAAAAATCTATAGTGGTGGGATTTGGTAGCGGCTGCTATGGGCCACTTGCGGAGAAGCTTCCAAAAACCTTGAGCTTGTTTTTAATTCAATCCTCCTATCGGCCATCGCTGTTAATTTTTGACTCCTCCAGCTAAGATATGGAAAGGGGCCAAAATAGCTCGCTGCCCCCCATACCACGCCTTCCAAGTCCAAAGAGGTCACGGTCTCCTTTAATACGTTGCCGCCTACTGCATCTTTCCTCTCCCCTAACCTTCCTTCAACCATGTTTACTGCCAATGAAATCACTGTCAAATTTTGTTGAATGCTAATTTGGCAATCTACTTCGTTGAGAGGTGAGAAGGATTTGTTAACTTTCAAATAAAAATTTTACAAAGACCCTACACTTGAGCTATTTAAGCTTGTTTTCTCACAAGCTTAGCGTCCTCGTAATCCTAAATCAAAATGTTCTTTATATCATATTCCAATTTGATTTCTTCCGTAAAATTGCACTACACTGTGTGCAAAACAGAGTAAATCAATGTAAATTGTCTACGTGTAAGTAATATAAGAAGATTTATTTGAAATTATTCATCTTGCTTCTTTTTTTTTTTCAGATTTATTACTTACAGAAAATATAATAAAAGATAAGTTTTAGTTTTTAGTTAGAATGAAATATAAGCTTTAATTGTAAAATTTAAATATGTCCTTTTCAATTCAAGATGATAAATAATCCACTAGACTAAAACTTCACTGACAAAGTGGTCCATTATCTCATATGCTTATCCGCTATCATGGCATACCAGCTTGGTTTAAAAATTTCCTGTGCCTGCCCACAACATGTTATCATATTATAGGTAATATATGTGGAATAATATTAAAAAAAAAAAAGCTTATCCCGTGATGGATCTTATCAAATTTCTTTGTTGGTAAATGTTCTTGAGCCAGTTGATAGAGAGAGAGAGACATTACTTGTTTCCCCAATCATCATAATGGAGATGATCTGACATGATTTATTGATGGAAGTGGCATCTCCCACTCAGGTGGGTTGGTGGCCTCTCATTTTCTACAGCGGCTACTTAATTTTGTAATAGTGCCAATCGGCCAAGCAAGGGCGGGATGATCCTTTGCCTGCATTTTGTTTGATCGCCAAACAGGGAAAGAGAATGGATCAAACTGGGAGGGAGAGTACCCATTTTCTGATACGTGACAAAGAAGGATTCCCATTTAAGATATCATCACCACAAGGAAACGTGAAGCGGATCACAATAGAAGCATAATGGTTGTACATAATTCATACTGATACAGTACATCGTGAGATCTTATCTCCTCAGCTGAGTGAAATACAGTAACTACTCCATCATACCTAAAAAAATATCTTCATGGTAGTGGTGCACTAATTTGAAATATATTTAGCTTCTTGTTGATTGAGAATTTGTTGGCATTTAAGCCATCTTTTTTCCTCCTCGTCAGTTTCCACCTTGTGGAGCGTGGACATGGAGATCATGTTAACTAACCACTATAGTATAGATCAAGCAAACATATTTGAGTTTGAGCATTACTGCTAAATAGGTTCAGAAAATCAGAATGAACAATTTGGCAGAGCTAAGACACTTCACCAAACCTGTTTGTAATCAGTAAGTTGATCGCCTTTTGGCTATAAAAAAGACATAGGTAGATTGGGTTTCGGTAAGTCTGGATGTACAGTTTACTCGAGTCATGCCCATTGCCAAACCAAATTTTTATCAGGATGGGTCTGCATTACTTTGATAAAACCACATTCATCTAACCGTGCAGTTAATCAATGTTCCATTTTAATCTAAATTTATGATTCTTTGGTCAGAACTCAGTAGCAAGGGCTCAAAATATAGTCAGAACAAATTTTAAAATTTTTCTTCATTTGATGCTGAGTGTCAGGACACAAAATTGAAACCAAAATCATAAAGGGTCATGCTATGTAGGTCCTCGATTTCATTGAGCTGATTTCAGTAAATCCATAAGACAAGCATTGCAGTCCTATGGGCTACAAAAAACCAGAGTAGAATGAGAATGTAAACCTTTTATAACAGCTAAAATCACCAACCCCTTAAAAAGGTTGAGCTTTATAAGAGAATCTTGAGCAGTTGCTCTTTTTATAATTGTTCAGAACAGGTTCTTCTTATGATAGCTTTCATGCCAACAGGAGTCTCCAAATCTCAACGTTGAAAACTCCTCACGGCATTCCAGTTTATCATTAATAAAAACTCATCTTTCAAAAAAAAAAAAAATGCTGAAATGGCCTGGATGGCTGTGATTACCCTTCTGAGCAAGAATACAATTATGCTCTCTACAGCAACAATCCGTCCCAACCTGCCCAAAAGGACCACCAAAACATGGGCTCTGTGTGCATCTCCTAAGAAAGAAGCATACACTTAGCACTTATTAGATGAAAGACAGAGAGATTGATGATTGCATAGATGGAATATGGTTCTGTGATTAAATAGATGCTTGTTTCCAACTGCTAGAAGTGTTTCAGTGACGACAATTTATTTCTAAACAAGGGTTGGCACCTTCTAAAATTGGTCAATACCTCCATGAAGTCAACACTCATTAGACATCCTGTTGGGGGGAAAAAATGTTAGCGTGATTGTGCTAAAATTGCTATTTCTGACAAACTAGACATACTAAAATTTCAGTCACTTGAACAGAAACTCAACAAATTTTTTCATAAAAAAAGACGGCCCCAATGGGGCAATAAACTTGGTACACTTTCAAGGATCTTATGTGTTTCTTTGTCAGCATCAAAACCATCCATTTTCATCTGATCAACAATCTCAGAAACTGTCTTGATGCGACACCTCAGCAAACTATGATACATATCCCTTGTCAAAGGCCCTGAGTTCTTCAATAAACATACCATCTCCTCCATTCCTCTTCCATCTCCTTGCTCTTCCAAGTACTCCAGACGGGCTGCAAATACCATGGAACTTGGCCTCCACCCTCTTCTTCCAACGGACATTGCCTTCTTCAACATCTTAACTGCCTTGGGCATCTGATTATGCTCCATAAACCCCATAGCTAAAACATTCCATGTACTGGCATATGGTGTTCTTCCTCTCTCAGCGCTGTTTACAACTGAATCAGCCTGTTCAAGGAGGCCTTATTGCAATAAGCAACCAGAAGCCTATTTAATACCCGTAAATCATAAATGGTGCACTGTAACTCCCACTCCCCAAATATCTTCTCAGCTCCATCAAGATCATCCAGCTGCGCTAGAGCAGTAATCATGTGGCAACATGATGTATCCACTAGTACATATGATGGCTTGTATGCGTTCCGAACTCTGTAAAGTTCATTTTTATTGTTAGTTTTTGCATAAAGATTGAGAAGAAACTCAAATGCTAGTTTCCTTCTTTGAAGGGGCATCACACTCTCATCTTCCTTAGCATCAGCAAAGCTTTCTCCATCATCCCAACATTCAGATACCCACTTGCTGCAATTGAATATTCTTTCCATTCAACCAATAAATTTGAATTGTCTTCAATCTAATTCAAGATCCTTTCCATCTCAGATATGTCAGATGCTGCAACAGCAGCAACCATTCTGTTTCTCATCGTGTACTTATCTTGTGAAACTCCATTCCTTTCCATTTCTTGCACCAATATGTAAATCTTGTCATATTTTCCAGTCACTGAGTGCAGGTTCATCAACACATAGTAGGAAAAGATATGTTGCCATTCCCATCTCTCATTTTCTCCATAACATATTCCGCCTTCTCTACAGATTTCTCTAGCACGTTGCAATCGAGAAGAGCACCATATATGTTATATTTTTTTAGATTATTTGAAACATTATGAAAGAAAATCTCTGCATGCTATATTCCACGAACCCTGTGGATTAAGTCCAGCATAACTGCAATGTCAGCCGGTGATAACATAAAGTACTGGTGATCAGTCATCCACTGAGATATCTGAATGGCATGATCATGAAAAAATAAAACTATCCTCTAATCAGTGTAATATAGCAACAATAGGTTGAAATTTTACCTATGACAAATACTACGGTTCATCAATTTGCAATTACCGTCACCAAGTGAAACATTAAAATTAAAGTAAGAAGAGGGTTGCATATGCATCCACCGATGGTGGATGGAACTGTAGTCCCTCCCTCCACATATGACACAACATATCCTGTCTGAATAGTATAGAAGACTTAAAGTAAGTCCTTGTGCTGCATAGGCGGCTAAAATATAGATAGGTTACAGATGAAAGAGATGAAGAATAAAGGAAGAAGAAAGAGAGGGATGGCTAATTTTGAAGAGTTTTTCTTGTATGTTCTTTACATCAGGATTACAAGGTTTATATACGCAAAATAGGAGAGGTGCTGCTGTAAAATCTTCCAACGGTCACAATAATTATGGAAACAAAATCAAAGATTTCAACATCACGTTGATTTTTTTCTTTTTTATAATTGGGAGACCAGGGATTCGAACTTGCTTTTTAGGCAGAAGAATTATGCACTAACCAATAAGTCAAATGTTCGAGTGCAATAGTTGATTGCTTCTGATTTGTTGCCAACGTTCTTGTATTGAGTTTCCTGCTCAGATTTTGCACATTTGCTATCTTCTATCTTTGATTCACATTTGCTGTTCTTTGTCTTTGATTCAATGCTATTGTGCAAGTCTTCGCAAGGTTGTGTTATTTCCATACTCCCCCCCAAACTGGTTAAGGGAGGCTTCCATAGACCAAGTTTGATTTGTAAGTTTTCAAATGTAGATCTAGACAAAGGTTTTGTAAAAATGCCAGCTATCAGGGCAATTGATGGAACAAACTTTGTGACAAGGGATCCCAAAGTTATTTTTTTTTTAACAGAATGATCGTCGATTTCAATATGTTTGTTTCTAGCATGGAAAATAGGATTGACAGTCATTTGAAGAGCAAAAAGGTTCTTAACAAGAGAGCTAGTTGCAATTTATATAAGCCAAGGTCTTGGAGAATGTAAGATATCCATGTAAGTTCAACAGCTATGGAGGCTAATGTCCTGTATTTTGCCTCTACACTTGATCTGGCTATAGTTGATTGTTTCTTTGTGCTTTAAGAGATGCAACTACCACCAAGGAATGTACAATATCTTGTTGTAGATCGTCTTGTTAGTGGACAATCTACCCAATCTGCATCAGAATAAGCAGACAACAAAAATGAATCCGTTGAGAATAATCTAACACCATATGTAATTGTTTCTTTAACATATCTGAGTATTCTTTTCACAAGTTGAAAATGATATTATCTAGGGAAATGCATGAATTGAGATACATAATTAACAATATATGTTATGTCAGGTTATGTACAAGTAATGTATTGTAGTCCTTTAACAATACTTCTATCATGTTTGCTATCTAGAAAAGGTTGTGTTGAAGTGGGTGCAATTGTAAGAGGTAAAAGGGTGGCACTAGGCTTGCAATCTATTATATCAACTTTGGCAAATAATTCAAATGCATATCTAGCCAGCTTGATTTAGAAGAAAACCTTAAGAAAATTTATGTATCCCAATACCAAGAAAGTAATGAATGTAACCAAGATCCTTCACAGAGCATTCATTGCTTTATGCATGAATAAAGTCATCAAGATAATGTAAATTACTACTAGTTATAATGATGTCATCTACATATACAAGTAAATATATTGTGCCATGCAAATTGACAATCCATTTCAAAAGAATATTTTTACTGGATACATGAGTTCAGCGATTGTCAACCGTTAATATTTTCATTAATTTGATGATGTGATTTTTTTAACAAATTTACCTTTCATTAAAATTTAAAGATTACTATTATCTAAATTATAATTTTTTATTAAAAAAAGATTCTATCTATTAGCCTATCATCTCTCAATCAAATTTGGTCTACGAATGCCAAATCTAGCCAAATGATTAGCGCTCCGTTGGGGAGCATTGATCTAATGCTCTTTTGAGGAGTCGAGCGGTGCTCCCCAAAGGAGCACTGGTCTAGTGTTCCCCAAGGGAGCACCAATGAGCCTAAACCGGTGCTCCCTTGGGGAGCTGATTTGGTGCTTGCTAAAGAAGCACCGATGGTGCTCCGTTGAGGAGCCAAAACCTGTGCTCCCCAAGAGAGCATTGTCGGATCTAGCATTTCATTGTCAAATTCGGCACCGGTCAATTTGAAAAAATTTTAAAAAAAGTATTTTAGATATTTTATATTTAAATATTAACGTCATTGACTCATTTGAAACAGAATATTTATTTTGAAAACTAATAAATCCATATAAAATTATAGTCAAAATTTTGAAAAGTCTAGATATTTTACCCAAAATTTTTTATTTCAATAGTCTAATAACAATCTTTTTATATATATTTTTCTTTTAACCAAATGAAGGAACTCTTCCTATCACATAAGTTATATAATCTATTTGCTCAAAATATAGATTTGAAACGTTTTTAACAAAAATAAAACTAATTTTAAGTTCTACTTCTCTTCATAAAACATGGTAACATTTTATTTTTTGGGTCACATTGAAGATAAGGAGATATAAGCTTATTTCTTTTTAGTATTATAGTTTAGCAATTCACAACTAGCCTTAATTTCAATAGTTATTTTACCTTTATTTTTTTTCAAATTTTTTATCTCATAAAATGCCTAATAACTTGTGTTTATTTATTTTTATTAAAGCACATTAGGACAAGATTAATGTAGGAGATTCAAAACTTGGATATCAACCTTATTGACTTGTATTACAATATGATGTAGATGTACTAGTAGTATATATTAAATAGTAAATAAGATCAAAGTTAGTGAGAGTAAAAAATTCAACTCAAATCTTGCCAAGTTACTTAGTATGATGAATGTAATCTATTTGGGGAGGCAAGAGGAGATGGCGCGCCATGGCCGCTTGGAAATTCTACATGCATCCTCCATGTATTTATAACCTCTTCTATTTACGTGTCTCTAAAATTTTAGTGGGTAAGTGCATGAACATTTTACAGTTCTCTTATGATCTTAAACAACAATGTAAAACATGAATTAAGCAAAGATGGTTCTTCTTTCTAAGAAAAATGAATATCAAAACACAGTAAGGAAGATGAACATCATCAGGAAGAAAATGGCATGCGTAGTGAATACAGCAATGAATGAATGGAGTTGCTTGCATTAACGTTCAAGGGTGCATGTAGAGGTAACGTCTCATCTGATTAGTGCCTTTCATAATTTACACGTTTAGGTTTAGTAGTCACAATGTAAGCATCAGCATTCTTCAGGAACTATTTGTGATGATTGATCAGCTAAAACCAAATGTAAGAAAGCCCTGTTTACACTAACAATCAATCCAAGTAAAATAAATGAATAGAAGAAAAGAACAAAGGATATATCGAGAAAACAAAAAAAAGAACCATAACAGGCTCTGCCCTCAGGCCTCAACTCCATTATAACTTCACCCTCAAGTACCTGCTAAACAACCAAAACACTTCATCGGCATCTTATTCTTAAACAACCGTTTTAGTATACATCACCTCTTTTTACTAGACAATGCAAATGGTCATCAGTTTATCAGGGGACTAGGTCCGGATGGAGGTACAGGCTGACCTTTAGGAAGCTTGGTTCCAAGGGTCCTAAAGCTCGACTCAAATGTATTCTCAGTTGGAAATCGGGAAACCTTAGCCATAGACAAGGGCCGTGCATAATACTGTGAACCTCCCAGGAAAAAGAGAGCAATGGCTAGAACAATCAGGAAATTCACCAAGGTCTTGGATTGGTTCAAGTTGTCCATTTTTTGAGTAGCTTGTATTAGATGAGTAGATTAAAGGTTTATACGTAAGGTTGCTAAGCATTTTTCGTGCATGGAAAGGTGGGCCGGCTTGTCAAGTGGGATTTTTGTACAGCCTGAATAGGTAATTTTTTGCTGGATGAACCCTGAAATTGCCGGCAGATATTCTGGGATTACGTGTAGTATTTTTTCAGCTTAAAAATTTGTGCGGAATTTCTGTTGGCCGGCTACTTGTTGCTGTTAAAATGGAAGACCCTAATTTTCTTTGGAGGAAGGGGCAAGTGTGCTGCAATAGAATTGTATTGGCATTGGCAATGTAGTTTGACAAAGCTAAATACCGATATTTCAGAGTAAGCAACGGGTCACATCCACTTGGAAATCATTGACTTGCTAAGTTTCACATTTACGTTAGCATATCTGTCAAAACCGCCTTCTGTTTCTTAGGTGTTAGTGCTGCAGCATTATATCAGCCACCCCGCAAACCCTCAACATAATAGACTTGATCAAAGAAATGCGCAATAACTTGTTCATACAAGTATTACAACCAGGAAGTAAAATTCTCATTCATCAATTAAAATGTCAGAAAGTAGAGTAAAGGGAAAGACAGGATTTGTTAAAAGTATTCTTCATATCAAGGTCAATATAACATTGAGTCATTGACTGCCTGTTCATTTACAGTGCAGACAGGTGTCAGCAATGTACAACAGGTATTTACAAAGGGAATATACTATTCCACAAGTGCTATTCATGGTTTTCATGACGACCATGGCCTTTCACAGGTTACATATATTTGATAACAGAACAACCTAAATGCTACCATCAAGACAAGGTCAACTGCAGAATTCATCCAACTAAACTTGTGCCTCATTCATACTTGTCAGCGCTGTAGAAATGCAGCAACTTTAGGGGCAATATCTTCTCCTGCAACCAAGATATCCAAAAGTAAAATGAATCTAAGGTCTCTAAGTTTTCAATAATATAAATGAAATGGTGAGCAAAAGTCTGGAAACCTGAACCATCTCTCCAGATTGAGAACGAAAATGAAAGCCTGTAGAACAATTCTCCAACATTTCAGGACTTTTCATCCATGCTCTACGAGCATCACTCACTCTAATCTTATATTTGAACATCTGGAAGGACAAGGGAAGCCATGTTCATCAACATAGAGATATAATGCATAATTTGGATAACATATACGTACTCAGTTCTACTCATTTTGAAATAAACGAACCCCAGCAAGTTTCCTTGTACAACAGCACCTAATTGTTTTAAGATCTGAAATGCACACCTGAGAGAGAGAGACATCAGGCTTCTCCAGCTCATCACCCTCAACATCAATACCGGTACCTTGGCACTCTGGGCAGAGCACAGAAGAAATCAGGGTCCCCGTGGCTTTAGTCTCTCCATCCTTACCCACCTCATTGGATTTGGCTCCATTTTTTCTCCTAGATCTTCGTCTTACTTTTGAATTAACTGAATGGTTCTCAATCCTCTCAAGCTCACAAAGAAGTATCCAATGTATAAGGCATGAAGTATGAAATACATGGAATGCCTACATGTGAAAAACAAAAAGATAAATGTAAACGAAACTTTAATTGTTTGTACACAACTTAACATGTAATCAATGCTTCAAGCTCAGACTCAGAAATAGGCTACGTGTCAATATGATGCAAATTTAAGGTGCTCCTCAATAACTTAGAAGGTAATCCAGAGCCAAGTTGACTAGAGAATCATACCCCATTAACATTTCTACTACTGCAAACAAGTTTTCCAGTATTCAAGTTCATGAGTGTTGCTACATCCTTCTCAGGAAGCATCTTTTGCTGACAGATATCACACATTCTTTCAGCAGCTATACGCTGTTGGCGCCTCAACTCTCGCCTTATAGCCTTACTTGATATAAATCTAGTGAGCAGAAGCTGATCATCATATCGATCTAATGCCAGCCTTGAAGAAGCACTATTTGAAGCTGAAAAGTCTTCCCCAGATGAATCATACTGATTACTCAAAGATTCACTTATGTCCTCTGGATCGGAAAATGACTTCTTCCTTTTCCTACTAGCAGATTCACCATTCTCCAATCCTGTGGGAGACCCACATGTTAGTAGTGATTTGAAATCATCGAGCAATCCCTTTCTGCCTAGATCGCAATTATAGACAAAAGTAACAACAGCAAAGTCATGCTTTGGAACCTTCAACTTGTCATCATTTCTTGGAGCCTCTTTCCCCAACCATTCACACCACAATCTGCTAATCTCATTTGAGACTCCATCCTTCTCGCAGAACCTCGCTGCAATTTTCCCAAAACCAATAAATCTCACTTTCAAGTCCGAGACTTCATCCTTGATTAGCACCCCTGGAATCAGCAGATCAGATTCTCCTGCTCTACAATTCACATTCTTTCTATAGGAACTAACTTCACTGCCAACATATTCCACTATAGCAAGGTTGTCATCATTGTTGTGAAACTCCAACAACCTATTTTCATTACCATGTAGATCTGCTAACTGTTTCTCCTTTTCATTCAACTTACCAAAGAACAGCACACCATCATTGAAAGGCCATGGATTAGTTCCTAGCAATGTAACTTTAGCAACAGCTAACCTCTCTGAGTGAAGGCTCCCCTTCAGATGATCAAGTAACACCGAATCACTATAACATGGTGCAAGACACAAAGTGCAGAAGAATATGAGCCGCTTCCCATCCTCACGGAGCTCTATATATGTATGCCCTTGCGATCTTACATTGTTAAGAGTGGTTCTTGCTAACTGTTCCTTTAAACTACAAGCACTTGTCCTTGGCAGTCCTAACTCCCTCCTTTCCGCCATTCAAATTTCCCCACCAAAACAATATGAATAAAACCCAAACCCAAGTAAATCCTGCAATTCCACAAAATAACCTAAAACTGGAATGCAAATTCAGTTTTCTCTTTTAAGCTTTTCACAAAACAAGAAACAACCCCTAACAAATTCAAATCACAACAACTTCGTTAAAAGACCTAACCTTCAAATTTCTAAGTTTCCTCAACTTCTTCCACACTTGAAAGCTTAAGCATTTTCAGCAATTACATATGAAATCCTCACAAAGGGGCGGTAATTCCACAAAACCCTAAAAATTCAATTCACCGATTCTTTCAAAACAAAAACACTCGTAAATTCTCATAGATTTTATCACAATCACCAGATATCTCTAGTTCAATTCTTACTTCTAGGCTTGAAGCAAAGAAATAGTTAAAAGGTCAACGCAACAAATTTCGGAAAAAAAGGACGCTAAAAATAGAAAAACGCTTTAACAAACTCCAACTACAGATATTCGTGGCGTACTAGGTATCGGGTTCTTAGTAAACCGTCGTGTTCGAACAGCGGCAGAGAGAGTCTCGAAAGCCAAGGAGTGAATAAGAAGCGAGCTGCTCGAGCGCGAATACTCCATAGCCATCTCCATTTCTTAAAGCAGCGAAGAGAGGGAAGGAAAAAACAAAGAAGGTGGTTTAGAGGCTGTTTGGATAACGAGAAAAAAAGATTCTGTTTTGAAGGAAAAGAAAAAAAAACAAGAACCAGAGATTACAGAAGAAAGCGAGAAAAGATCAGAGTGTAGATTGAAAACAGACAAGAAAGAAACGACTTTCTATCTGAACATATTTTTGAGAGGATTATTTTTCCAAAAGAGAATTTCGATTGATTTATTCAGGGTTTCGAGCCGCGAGATTCGCGTGTCGTAAAATTAATTGACAAAATCGTAATAATGATGTACGGAAACGAAGATGTTTGTAAGTGTTGCTGTTAATTGTAGACCGTTGGATGATTGCGTATAAGAGTTGCTGATTGTGATGAACGGTCACGATTCAGGTCGTAAAATTATTAAAAATAAGCGCGAGGGACGGAGAACAGGTTAGATGCGAATTTTCGGAAAATCGGATCCCGCGAAAGAGGATATGTGTAAAGCGTAGGACAATTTTTTCTTTTTCATTTTATTTAACAAGTAAGAGTGTTTTACATCAGGGAAGGGCGAAAGGCTGTTGGCAATTGTTAGGCTGGTGGCTGGTGAGTATTTTGTGAATTTTCATTTCATGACCTCTGAAATTTCCTTAATTGAGATTTGGCCCCAACTTTTTTTTATTAATATATACTAATATTTTTTCTTTGAAGGTAAGAAATGAACCCAAAAAAAAAAAAAAAGCCAACTCAAGTTGGTGCCGATATTTGTATAGGTTATGAACCTAAACATTTCCCCTTTACGTATCGACGTTTTGTTTATGAATATTGACATTTTTCTCTACCTGTGATTCAATAGTGATATAATCTTAATTTAAACACTTTTCTTTAATTTTTGCTTTGTCAAGTTAACAAGGTTAAGAGTAGAAGTGACAACTAATTCAAAATAACATAATGTAGGCTGTTTTGCAAGTGTAATTCCTACCGATGCCTGCCAATGGAGTGAGATTTGGCTTGTTAATTTACTTGCTATGCTCATACATTTTTATTAACAGTTTTATGAGGGTTTTGTAAAATCTTTGAACTTTAAGGGTCTGTTTTGTAATCGAAAAATGACTTGCTAGAGAAAAATTTTTTCTTTGTAAAATATTTTATAAAAAAATTTAATATTTTCTATTGTTTGGATAAACTGTTGAAAATATTTTCTATTATTTAAATATTTTATGAAAAGTATTTTTCATCATGAGGGAGGTATTTAGGTGTTGAAATAATAAATAGTAATTGATTACAAAATAATAGTGATATTTGATTTTCACTAATTTGGAATTAAAACAAGAATGCTATTTCCTAAAATATTTAACAACATATCTATAATGAAAATAAACTCTAATTTTCAAAAAATTAGACATCTTATCACTTTTTTATCATAACTATAAAAATATAAATATTCATTAATTGTGTAAGATATTCAAAACCGATACTTTTAAATATGTATCCATTAAATGATGATCATTGAAATTTTTTTTATTATAATTATTAATAAGATTTAAACTTATTATATATATGTATTCATCAAATGATGATTATTGAAATATTTTTTATTATAATTATTAGTAAGATTTATTCCATTTATAAATAAAAAAATTTAATTGTATTTAATGGGTTCATTAAAAAAATATGTTTTTAATTTTAATTGTGTTATATAATTTAAATATTAATATTTTTATTTTTTAAATATTTTAAATTACATACTAATATTCATCAAACTTATATTCATAAATTTAGTATAAAAGTGCTTTTGTTATTTTTCAAAAAGTGTCTTACACCCTTGAAGGACGAAAGATATTTTTTATAGTTAACCCGATTAACTCGTAAAATGTTTTACATCTAAAATTAATTTTTCATCTTTCCAACAAGTATAAATCCTAAAAATATTTTTTGAAGAATATTTTATTGTAAAATAAACGGATCAAAGCTTTTGTCTAAGAAAATGAAGAGGAAATGAACATATATGATTTGCCAGTAGGAGCCTGACGAACCAATGAAATGGCCAGCTTAATGCCTTAGTCATGTCATAAATCAACCTCACTAAAAATTATGGAATTATTCTGCTAATCTCCACTCCATCTTTATCTCTTTAGTTTATGTTATTGTTTTTGGCAACCTTTCAGTTCATGTAACATTTATATTTGCTCACATGTTTGAAACCAACTTTTTTTATATTATCATGAAAAAGGGGTCCATTTAAAAAAAGAGTAATAGAAAAACTGAAAAGGGATGGAAGAGGAGCGATTAATTACATGCAAGAATCATAGAGAGAGCAAGAAAACAAACTAGCTGTTCTTATCATGTTAACTGCAGGTTCACGTAATAAATGTCACAATGTGCGCTCGAGGAAACGAAAAATAGTCATCAATATAACTTTTTTATTTAAATGTGATTTGACACTCGATTAAATTTATCATTTTTGATAAATATGGTTTAAGTTTATTAAAAAAAATTAATTCTTATCCATAAAATCAATTTAAGTTTAAGAAAACGATTATACTGAAAAGAATATTAACACTCTCGCATTATCCATTGAAATAAAGCTACCAATTAGTCATGAATTACCTTATTTGTATCATTGACAAATAGTCTTTTACTTCTTTTCTTTCTCTTCCCATTATTCCGAGATTAAAAACCTTTTCTAAGTTTTCCCAACATTTTTTTTATGAAAACTAAGGATAATCTCCTTGCTTAAAATTAGAATATATAACAAAATAACTTATTAACTGCCTCCCTCCATTTGCACGGTATGCTATCAAATAGGTACCTACTCTACTCCCCATACAAAAACGGCAGAACACATTCCAAAAGGTATGATCTCTCTCTCTGTTGATCTCCTCCTTCTTCCTCAAGCATCAACTGACTTAAGCATTGAAGAGAGAATCATCGAAAACCATCAAACCAACTAGAAGAACCAGTCAACCCGAATAGAAACCCTTTCAATCGATCCAGTTCGTCTCTCTTCTTATTGACTTCAATACACGACACACCTGAACTTGTGAGAATCATATACCCCGTGGCAATTAAGTTATTTGGAAGCCTCTGTCATCTCTAAATCATAATCATTGCAAAATTCCTGCAATTTGCAATGATATATTAGAACAAGGCTAGTTTTGCTGGTTCCTGGTAGTGCATACAACAGGCACCCTTTTTCCAAGCTCTTCCGATCCTCTTGTAAAAACCGTGCATGCTAATAAACTTTTGCAAGTCGTCGCCCTCTACACAAATCCTGTTTTAGATTTGGAAAAAGTAAAAGGTAGCATAGCATGGATTCGGAAATAATTTGTTAGTTAGTTTTAACCATGAGCTTTCTACTAAAGAAGGCAAAGCAAACAAACAACCCAACGTAATTCAGACTTCAAAACTATAAAAAGTTAATTTGACTACATGCAAACGTATACTATTTAGACAAAGAAACTTGCTTAGAAATGGAGTAAAGTGTAGTATATTACAATAAAGATTTGAATCAAAGGTAGTGGTCCTAATATATAAATGCTATAGCTTACATTCATCGAACAAGTAAAGCCACTTTGGCTACTTTACTAGCTCTCTCGACTCTCGAGCTTATCCTAATACTATACATGCGTCTATGCCTGTGTATACAGACAGTTTACAAGTTTGACAAAGTTGTGTGGTTAATTTCTCTCTTCACACTGAGCTTACGGAATCAAGACTTAAGGGTCCCAACTGTTCCCAATCAAATGGTAGAGTACAGCTCAAGCCAATTGGTAGAAGAAGCGTCAATGCGTCATATTCCCTGAAAGGTGCAACGTTGCGAGGAATGGACCCAATGGTTGCCCTCTTCTTTTTAACCAGCATTATCGATAATGACTAAATCTACCCCGAAAAGTAAAGCAGAGAAACAACTAGGTAATGCCTGAGCAGGAATTATTAGCAGTATTCTATCGCAGAAAGACAATTTATCAGTTTATTCAAACTCACGAAAGATTTTTTCTTGGGGGATAATCCTTATAAAATTATAGGAAAAATAAAGAATTGTACACTCCTTTAAATTTTAGAGCCAGACAGAAACAATAACTAAAATCTCAAAATAATCAGAGATGTAAACAATAACAAAAACAACAACAAAGATTAACTCATGAAAAGCTAAATCAGATTAAAAGAAGGCGGAACAGAAAACAGAACCAAACCCTCTAAAGTTTTAAACAAAAACCCCCCACAATGACCGAGATCTTTACATGGGAAAACTCAAACCTAAAAAACCAAGGAAAACGCCATAAAAAAAAGGATGTGGGTATTGAAATATAGATCAGGATCAAACATGGTGGAGCATATTCATCAGCCTCTGATATGCTTGACCTTGTACCAGCCTTTCTTGCATGACTCTCCCACGATCTTCACACCCTTCTTGAGCAAAACCTTGAGCTCCTTGGCTCTCTCCTTTACTTTCTGCTCGAACCCAGCCATCGAAAGAAAGACGAAGAGATGAACGGGAATTTAAAAGCTGTAGTAGGGATTTGAGTAGATTAAGTTAGTTTGTTTGTTAAGCTGTTCGTGTTGTGTAAACCGCTGGAACTGGAAACAAAGTCTGGTCTCCTTTTAAGCTGACGAGGAGCTGAGCTTGACCTCGTGGGATCCAACGCATCAGGGACGCGTGGCGGACATCTAGTGGCAATGGCATGGGTGATCAACACGTTGACTGCCGGATAAGCATGAGATTGACATGGGTACCTGAAGTGTTGATTGGTCTTTCGGTTTTCTGTGGGCCCAGACTGGAGAGTATTTTGTTTCAAGTGAACTGGCTCTGGACCTAACCCATTAAATAAATTTGGTGAATACTAATGTTAAATTGTTGAAATTTATCAGAAAATTACTAACACTTAGATGGGCCTTTGACAGTTGGCTAAAAGTTAAAACCCCCCACAAAGTGAGTCTATTACAGATTTAAGGGCGCCCAAATGGTTTAAAATTAAACTTTGAGACAGTGTTGATTGCCAATAGTTGGCATTGAGTAAGCCAAACGCTGGCACAGCTCATGGCATGTTAAAGTGATTAACCAGCTGGACTTAGCTAAAGGCCGCAAGTACGCACGATTATATATGTATGTATACGAGCTCTCTTACACTTGCAAATCAAATGCTAACATGAGTCTAGTTATGGATTACTGGGAGCCAGCCAGCCAGCAGGGCTAAGGCGGGCCATAGCTCAAAATTTGCCGGGACTGTTTTTATAGCTAATCCTGTTTATTGTTGGAAATTTTAGGAATTTTCTCAAAATATTGACAAAAAAC